CCATTCTCCCGGCCAGTGTTAGTTGGCTGAGTTAAGTTTCAACAGCCCTAGTCAAGACAGTTTTACTTAGCAGCTCCAGATAAGAAATCCCGGAATAGCTTTGTCTGGCGTGCAAATGCATCGTGATGGTAATGAGGGCCTGAGCAAACTTCATCATTTATCACAAAGTATAAAGTTTCGAGAAAGAATTTCAACATACCGCAAAGACCCAGTTATTTTCTGAATGAGCTTTCGTAGTTAATTATCTCTGCCAACCACTCATTGTGTTTTTTCTGGCATTTTTCGCAACTAATTTTAATAAGCAGTGCTGATATCCTCAAAATCTAGAGCCCAAAGAAACATGCCCAACTCTTCAACACTACTGTATCAAAATAAATTACGCGCGGATACAAAGTGTGATATCTTCTAGCTGTTTCGAATAAAACAAAGGGTTAAAAGAATACTTGAAGCACTTCTTAATCGCACAGACAACTGTCAGATAACAATATGTCTTCTAATGGCCAACAAATGAAAAAAAGACACGTGCTATAATCGGCATGTGCTTTTACTTCATCCATATTTGAGGACCGAATTCCAAGAACATATTGGAATTTTATACGAAGATCTCGGTGGATCCGGAATATCTCATTGAGTTTTATTAGTATGTTGTTGAAGAATTGATAAAAATTTCGAATTTGACTGTAAAACTGAGTTGCCCTAATTACAGGACGGATGACTTATGGCTTGAGCTCGATGACGACGATTTCGAATGCGCTTTCACGCCGAGTTCATCAGTGCTCTGTGAATCCAGTCGACTCTATCAGTCCATGGATTCAGCCGCTAGCGTTCGACCACGTCGTCCACCGATCGCACTGCCACCTCCTCCGCCACGCTCTGCACCGCCACTAAGCGGTTCCGGACAAACGCAGAAGTCACAACAGAGCACTGATACGGTTGCAGCCGCAGTACATCCGATTGCCACTCCGTCGAAGACCAGTCCACTGCACCAGGTTGTTGGGGGAAATTCAGGGAATGTCGCTGCCGCGGTTACGGCTACCATCGGCA